GACTTGCTAAAGTTCTCCATGTGGCCGCTCATAAGAATCGGCGTCTCCATCATGGTCGTCTCCCTCGCCGGATTCGTCGGCGCCTGCTACCAGAATAGCTTCCTCATATACCTCTACCTGTGGGCCATGTTCATCATCATCGCCACCCTACTCGGCTTCGTCATCTTCGCCTACGCCGTCACCGGCAAGGGTTCCGGCCAGCCCATGATGAACCGGGCCTACCTCGACTACTCGCTCCAGGACTACTCGGGTTGGCTCTCGGATCGGGTCGCGAGTGATAGTTACTGGGCCAAAATCGGGTCCTGCATTAGGGATTCGCGCGTGCAGAAAGATGAGCAGAAATATTGGGGGCGTTCCTGAATCTGCCGAGATGTTTTACCTCAGAAAACTCAGCCCTATTCAGGTCAGAATAAAAAAACAATTTGAATTTAATTGTTGATTTTTATTTATTGAATCTCTGAAAATCTGATACCTATTAGAAATCATTAATTAATCTATATATGTTTGGAGCTTTGAATTAATTAGTGTTCTTAATTTGGTGATTATGTAAACATGCCCATTTTTTTATTTATATTTAAAAATAAAATAAAAATTCACTCTTTGTTATTATTAGGGGATAAGATATCTTAACCACAAATTTTTGTTGTCGTTTTGTAATAACACTTTGATTTGAACTAGAGAGAGATTAAACTGTTCTACTTTATTACTACCAATAAACCAGATATTTATATGAGCTTTTTGGTTAAATTTAAAGTCTTTTTTTTCCCTTTAAACTTTTTGATCAAACATCCTTCTTGTTGCTTTTCTTCTTGCAATGCAAAAAGGTTGAATTTATTTTATTTTTGGGTAAATTACGGTCACATCCTGTGGTACATATTAAATTACGAAAAAGTTCATATTGTTTGGCTAATTACAACCACCTCTTAACTATGTATTTTCTTACGGGAAAAGTACAGTTTGCACCCCTTAACTATGGGGTCTGTCACAAACACCCCCCTAGACTACAAAACGTAACAAAATAACCCCTATAATTTGTGGTCAACGTGTAGACAACTTATACCGTCAGTTTTCTTATGCATTTACTTCTTTACCCTTCAAATATATTTGAAATGTTGGACCCAATTTCCTATTAATATGCACAATTTTCTACGCATCACCCCCACCAACAAATCTCTTGGGTTTTTTCTTCCTCATTTCCTTGACTTCTCTCATCCCTCTAATTGGGATTAAGTTCTCGATTTTTCATGCCATTCGTTCCGGCGAAAATATTTTCCGGCAGAGGTTTTTTCTCCCCTTCCTCTCCCTATGTTGCTTCATCCCTCTCAAGCTTCTTTTTCCATTACGGTTTCACCCTGTTCACTCCTCCGTCGTTTTCGACTTCGTGTAGCCATGGCCCTGCTCGCCGAACCTTTTTGCTTGCAACGATGTACTATTTTTTCATCCTTGGCCAGAGGAAGTAGTGGGTTTGTTAAATTTTAAAGCAATGTTAGGTTGATTGCATCTGGGTTAAATCTTGCTTCTTGATTGGAGTGGCCGAAATGTGAATTGTATTTGAATGCAAGGGTTGATTTATTCTGTAATTAATTTGTTAAATTTTATATTTAATTTACTTTAATCATTTATGGTCTTTAGTTTGAGCTTAAGTTTTTTGAATTTGAGGAAATTTTCAATTGAGTAATAACTTATTGTTATTAGAAAATTTATGTGCTCTCACTAAAAAAAATATTTATTCTTCTGATTTTTTTTGTTTATGTATTAATTAAATTGAATATGTTACTATATTAATAAGTTAATGATATAAAATATTTTGGGATGAAATAAAATAATTATTAAAATTGGAATACATAATCAATTTAAATTTAAATATTTTGCTTATTTACAATTTTAAGTTTGGGGTGAAAAAATATATCTTCATACATAAAATGTAAATATCTTTTTATTCATATAGATATAGCAAAGTGAAGGGTAAAAATGTCAAAACAATGAAATAAGAGAGGGTCAACTGCCACATCAGCACATTACAAACGATTTAAAAACGAAGGGGTCTTTTTGTTACGTTTTGTAGTATAGGCAGGTGTTTGTGACAGACCCCATAGTTCTGGGGTGCAAACTGTACTTTTCCCTTTTCTTACACATCAACCATTACGGTGTCAAATTTATTGTAATGTTCTAGTGGAATATTCTTCCGCCTGTACCCGTTTTATCCTATTCTAGCTCCACATTTTAAAACAAGATGATCATAAGATGTGTCTCTTGACTTGTAAATATCAGATTGTGGTGCATCTAAAACTGTCTTTTTGCACAAAATGAGTTCAAACTAGAGAACATTTCACGGAATCTTTTAGATTCTATTGAATTTGACACCGTAAGGGTGGACGTGTAAGAAGAATCATAGTTAAAGGGTGGTTGTAATTACCCAAACATTAGGGTTTTTTCGTAATTTGACCTTACTTCTGGGGGTAGCCGTAATTTGCCCAATTTTATTTTATTATTCATCAAACATTCATTTAATCATATTGTAAAATGGCCTAGCAAGTCGAAGAAAAAACCATGCGAATTACAAGAAAACGAAAACGACATCAATAATAGGAAAGCTAGGCTATCATCAAATAAAATAAACTAATTATTTATGTATAGTTTCTGGTACGTATCAATTTCTTCTTGTGTCTTTTACCAAAAGCCAAAGGGCTATTGTCATTGTCTACACTTGAAGTTTTTTTTTCTTTTACTTAGTATTTTAATTTTCTCCTAAGATAATAATTGGCATTATTTATTTTCCAAGCATTGATTGAGTAATTGCTAAGAACGTGCTCCATAACTTGTTCACATGGCCTGACAACATATATGGGGGGTCCTTTCATTAGATATTTCCTTCTTATATTAAATTTTAGGATTATATATATATATATATATATATATATATATATATATATATATATATATATATATATATATATATATATATATATATGTATATATATATACTAGTAACGAGCACCGCGCAAGGCGCGGCGCCCTGCGTGATGCCTATTCCCGACTATTCATGTCCGATATTAAAAGATTATTTTATGTCAAACAGTAAAAGATTGTTTGGCAAAGATTGTTCGGCAGAAGGAATAATGTGCAGGTTTTCGACTTAAAGAAGTCGGAAAGATCTGACAATAAATTGCTATCTTAACTTCAAATGTTTGCATTCAGAACGTATATATAACAAAAGTGAAGGAACGTTTTTGATGAGTTCGGGACGAGGTTCATCATTGGTGAATTCGCCTTGTCGTGTAAAAACTGAAGCCCGTGACCGCAAGCTACCTTTATCTCTTCTGCCAATCTAATGGTCTTTTATCTTGAAAAACATCTGCATATATAAATAGAATAGCAATCCAATATTCGTTACATAGATGAAAAAATGGCTGCATGTTCTATACAAATAGATGACTTGTATTAACTGAAAGAATTTATGGTCCCGAATTCGTTTAATACAGAGATGTTATCTTAAGTGTTATGACACTTGAGAAAACATGCAGCGGAAATATAAAGACAATACTCAGATCTAAAAATGTGCACAAGTAAAACTTGTGAACTTGCCCTTTACAGGATGGAAAAATTATATTAAAACAGTATGACAAGAATACAAATAGTAGATGTACGAAAACTTCTTCCTTATGAATGACTCATTCACATGATCATTCTTACATTCAAATCTAGAAACAAAAAGATAAATACTAAAAATTCTGGATTTCAAAGAATGTACTCGTGAGGAGTACGTAAAGAACTTCTTTCTTATGAATGAATCACTATCTTGATCATTCTTACAACCAACTCTAGAAACATAAAAACTATGTGCTAAACAATCTAGACTACAAAGAATGTACTCATGAGGAGTACAAACAACCGATTCTAAAACCACTCTACAACACTCATGTATTCTTTTCAGCTATCGGTTTTTGTTTCTTAGAATCGATCATTTTCCTTGAGTCTTGAAGTCGGTATTTATAGACATTCCAAGCTTCCACTCCTCAGCCCATGATCTGCAAGAAACCTATCTACAAGAGCACTCAAGAACATGGGTTAGTGGGTTAGTTTAGTAGTTAGAATAATATCCACAATTTAGCCCACTAAGCACTACTTAGCCCACTAAGCCATATACTTGACCCACTAAGCACTACTTATTCCATAACTAAAATTTAGTTAGAAAATAAGAAAGTTAAAAACAAAATGTGGAAATAATCCACGTGTTTCAAACTCCCCCATTTTAACTTTCTGATCAAAACTAAATTTTAGCTTAACTCCCCCTGAGTCATTGCTTGAATTCCCCCTGAATTTGACAACCAACATTAACATAAAAGTTCAGAGGGAAAATAAAAACTGGACAAAACCGAATATTGTTCATAAAAAAAATAAAGTAGAATATCCAAGGTCTCCTCAGTATCAACTGTTGTTCCTCCATCACTAGCACTGAACCCACTGTTTTCCTCTTCTCGCTTTCCTCTTCTCATTCAGCTTCACCCTCATTATTTTCTTCTTCTTCATTAACTCCATGCTCTCTGCCTCTGGCATCCGAAGGATGAGAAGTCCCTGCTTCAACTTCATGACTGGCTTGTTCTCCATCTTTTTGATCAGAAAGAGCTTTTTGGAGCATTTCCACCATGGACTGGTGATAAGTGATCTGAGCTAGGGAGTGAGTAAGCTGTTGTAACAAAAGATCTCGTGGAACAGAAACAAAGATGTTAGGGGTGTTGTCAACATGAGGAGCAACACCTTCAGTACCAAGATTATTTTGACCTGATTCAATTGGGAGAAAATTATCTCCATTCCAGGGAAGATCTTGGACATGAGGAGCTTTGAGAAAATTTTGAGAAACAGTTATCATGCCAAGTGGAGTGTGAAGATATTCTGATTCATCTTGACCCAAATTTTGAGAAAGCAGAATGGAGTAGATGAGAGAAGGATAAGGAAGATGAGTGGGGGATGAAATTTTCTGGGCAAGATGACCTATATTATATAAGAAAAGCTTTTTAAAATCAACTGGTAGTCCCATCCCCAATTTGTACATGAGTACTGCATGAGGTTTAGTTACCACAAAGACATTTTTGGATGGAATCCAATTCATCACTGTGAGTCTGAACAAGACAGAATAAAATGCAGTGAGTTGAGAAACTTTGAATTTTCTGGGGTGAGCAGGCTAACATTTTAGACGATTGCCAGAAAGAGTCTTACAAACCTCAGTAAAATCACCATAATTATCCTCATCAATCACAGTAGGAGTTTGTAAATGAGAGTTGATAATTTTGGGAGAAAAGGAGAAAATGGAATTTCGCACAAAAACTTTGCCAAAGTTTGGAGAATTTTTCTTTAAAAAG